GACCAATGCTATCCTGACAGAATGTCTGTCAAACATCATAAGAACATAAAGATTTGTTAGGCGAAAGAAGACCAAGGGGTCTTCGCCTTCCACCATCCTGGCAGTGCCTTGGCATATCATGTCCCAAACTACACACTGTATCCTGAGATATTATTTTCTAGCAGAAATGCATCTTTTTTTTTAATGACATTTTCTGTTTCCACTGTGTCCCTAGGGAGGCTTTTCATTAGTTTACTATTCTGTCACTTAAATAGTGTTTCCACAGAATTGTTCTGAATTTACCCCCTTCAGTCTTAGTCCACTGTTTCCATTGTGCAGTACAAAATAAAACAGCTTGTCATGATCTACATTATCTATTTCCTTCAGAATCTTAAAGAACAGTAATCATATCGCCCTCAACCTTCTCTCCTCCCGTGTGAACATGCCCAGTTTATCTAATCGCTCCTCGTTGTCCAGTCCCTCCATCCCCTCAACATCAAGTCTTGGATGAGAGCTAACTACAGTTGAACGTCAACGAGACTGAGGCCCACCTGATTGGCTCCCGTCAGCGACTCCACACCTCAGGCACTGACAGCATCTTCATCCAAGAATATACACTCCACCTCACTGAGACAGTCTGGAACCTTGGCATTTTGTTTGACCCTCATCTGTACTCTCTGCCCCACATCCGAGACATGACACACTCTGCTCTCCGCATCTCCTCAACATCCCCACTCCGCCACTGTCTCATCCCTTCAGGTCGCCGAAATCTTCATCATCCATTTATTTCATCTAGGCTTTACTATGCCAACTCCCTGCTTGATGGCCTCCCCAACTTTTCACTCCACAAACTGCTGATCATCCAGAATTCCGTAGTTCGTGTCCCTTCCTGTACCTGGCGCTGTGATCCTATCACCCCAATGCTCACCCGGCTTCACTGGCTCTACATGCCCCAGAAGATAGAGTTCAAAATCCTCGTCCTTGCCTTCAGGGCCCTCCACGGCCTCACTCCTTCCTACGTCTGTGACTACTAACCCCATATCAACTTGCCCAATCCCTCAGCACAGCAGGCTTCGGCCTGCTCCATGTCTGCCACCCCAGCCCACCATCGGCAACGGACATTCAGGCGCTTTGCCCCTGCCCTTTGGAATTCCATCCCACAGTGCCTTCACTGCGCTCCCTCTCTTGCCTCCTTTAAGACACGTATCAAGACCCTCCGCTTCAACCTGGCCTTCGGCAACCCTCCTACCCTCCCGGCCCTCCACCATCCCTGATCCCAACAACTCTCCTGCACGGGTCTAAATGCCTGACTGTCCAACCTCTTGGGATATCCTCCCAATGTGAACGGCGCTATACAAATCTAAAGTTGTATTGTCATTTTCTTTGTAATAAATCTTGCAATTGATACAATGCGTTGTCACAACTTTGAGACGTCTCATAGAGCTTCACAGGTATACTGTCAAATGCATTGACTGAGTATTTTTAAGGAGAAATGCAGCAGCCAATTGCACAGAGCAGCGTCCCACAAACAAAGTGACCAAATTACTTTAAAAACAATTTTTTTGAAGGGAGTGTTACACTAAAAGCGATCGACTAACCTGTTTAGTTCCTACTGTCTGATACGTAAACGTGGAGGAAGGAAAATTGCCAAACATTTCACCCTGTTTGGGAATCAAACCCAGGTCCTCTTGCTTATGAGACAGGAGCTCAAACCACTAAGCTACAGGACTCAATTAATGTCTCACAGATTCACCCGCCTGCAGACGCACTAACCCACACGACTGAGTGATACTTCCACAAGTATTTTATTCAATCATTTTAAAAACAGAATATTTACAAAGGAGCACAGGTTTAGTAGCAAAAAGAGTTGATGAGAGATTTCCATTCAATGTCTTGGAATCAACGATGTTCTTCAAGGTTGAACGTTCCTCCAAGCAGTGAAGGTTGTTGTCTCTGCAAAGTTGACCGGCTTCTTTTCCTCTCCCGGCTTCACACATTTATGCAGCGCCCTTCACATGGGGCAGCGTCTCGGAATGCTTCACAGTGGCGTAGCCTGATGCCAAGCCGGGGGGATAGAGGAGGTGACTGTAAGCGTTGTCGAAGCAGCTCAATGCTATAATGGGAGGACTGCAGGCTGGCGCTTACTGCAAGGATGAGAACTTATAGGCAAAAAGGTCTCGATCATCAGAAGTTCTGCCTCATTTGAAGCTCTTGTGATCTTGTACGAAACACTTTCATGGCCACTGGAGACAGGCACAGGTGAGAGAGCGGGAACTATATAGAGCTCCTTCTTTTCTTGGCCTCAGGATGGAGACGCCTTGAATCTATCAGTGAAGAAAAAGAATGAGATCATGTTTCAGCCAAACAAACACTGTTATTGGGAGTCACGGGTTCCCATGTTCTCAAAGGCTCAACAGAATCGCAAAATTCCACCTCGTCTCAGCCTTTGAGATGTTTTGCCCACAAACCCAGGGTGGTACAGAAATGGGGTAAATCCAACAACAACAACAACTTGTATTCACACAGGAAAGCGTCCCAGAGCTCTGTATAGTGGCAAGGTTGAAGGGCGAGGTAACCATAGGCACAGTCAAAGACAATATTGAAACCCAACACCATGTTTAAGAGTTCCGAGCATCCCACCTACACTGGACTGTGTTACCTGAGCAAAGTGGGCAGGCAGAGAAGTGGACTTTGAGGAGACTAGACCTACCCCATGTTCAGGTAGGTATCAAGGTGGGATTTCAATATAATGAGTTGTAAAAAAACAGGAACTGAGGCAGGGAGTTACAGAGATTAGGGCCATAGTGACAGGAGGCACGGCCACTGATGCTGGTGTGGAGGGGTCAGGCGACGCACAGCAGCCCTGTGTTAGCTGAGCAAAGGGGGATGGGCAGAGCAGTGGGGTACGAGGTGATAGAGGAGTAATTGGGAAGTTATTAAGACTTGTGACAAAGTTAAAGCCCGAATGGTCTGTCCGGCTGGAATTTCAGGCCTCAGAGATGGAGGGGCAATTGATATATTAATAGTCAGATTAATGTGAGAGACAGAAAGTTAGCTTGGCTCAGTTGTCGTGCTCTCCAGGCTCATGATCACACGACACAATAAGAAAAAAGAAAGGAGTTTCTCCGAGTGTCCTGGCCAGCAATCCTCCAGATCAACTGGTCGTCCACATCACTGCTGGGTGTGGGACTTTGCTGCGCACTAACTGGCTGCAGCGTTTGCTGACAGAAATGCGATCACTACATCTGACAAAGCACTTCAGTTATAATAATACTTCCATTTGATGCAGCGTCTCATCACATGGTTAAACATCTGAATACTCTTCACAGGATGTTACTGTGAAGTGTCGTGATTTCTGTGCTTGTTTAGACATAATAAAGATATCTCAAAGTGCTTCAGGGAATTTTACTGTAAAATAGTGACTGTACGGCATTGTGTTATATATCATAACCAGTTGAGCTTCAGTGGTTTTGTATTTAAGATACAAACAGCAAAGGATTGACAAACCTTGTGTATTACAGACAAGAACGATCCCGATCACCAACAGAAAGAGACATTTAGCTGCTGGCATCAGGCTCAGCATCACAGTGATGAAGCTGCCATCGCTCTGTCTGTCCCCATCACTCTGTGGTCCAGGTGCGAGGATGTCTCGGGCGTCTCTGCCCTGTGTGTTCTCAGCTACACAGCGGTAACTTCCCCTCAGTCTCGGGCCCCGGATCTCCCCCACGGTTTGATGTTTGTCCACTAAGTGTGTGACTGGCGTGTGGCTGGTGTTAATGGGCAGCGTGTTATTCTCAGGGTCGATCCATGTGATGTTGGCCGGTGGTTCCCCCTCAGCCGTGCACACGATGTCAACTCCGACTCCATCACCGGCCACGAGGGACAGACTCAGGATGACGGCCGGAGCTTCAGGTATAAAGAAACACAGAGTTATTCAAACCAAACAACTGTCCTCATCGTGTCTGTGCTGGTGCTCACTCCCCACTGGAGCTCTCTACTCTAACCCCATTCCCTGCTCTCTCCCCATCGTGTCTGTGCTGGTGCTCACTCCCCCACTGGTGCTCTCTATTCTAATTCCTTCTCTTTTCTTGTATATCTTCAGGTTGTTCATAATGTTCCATTTCAAACACTTTCAAAATTCATTTGTTTAATATTCGGGTCTATTCGGGTCGCCAGCGCTCTGAGATGTTCAACTGACGAGAAAGACGCTATATAAATGTAATTTGTTGTTGTATCTTGTGAAATTTCTTTAGATATTTGTTAATGAGAAACATTTAATATCAAATGTGTAAAACATCAGTATGTTGTATATTTGGCTTTAGCTTGCAGGGTTAACAGGAGCCAAGTGTGCAGAAACCCTGCTCCCAGTCATACGATCACAAAAGAGGTTTGTGTGAAGAAAGTCCATTTGATCTCAACCTTCCGACCCTTAACTACACTGTCGATGTTACTAAATCGAACTCTTTCTGCAATGAGTCCCAGTGTCCGGCCTCAACCACCCTTCCTGGTAACCACTTCCAGCCATTAATTACCCTCCGGGCAAAGAAATACTTCCTGGTATCTGTTCTTATTTTGCCCATCACAACCCTGACCCTGTGACCTCTTGATGTATCTGAGAGGAAAGGAATGGTGGCTGACGCCAGGACACTGGGACTCATTTAAAAAGTGATTGGGGTGGTGGGGGTGGGAGCGGGGGGTTCTGTAAGGTTAAGATCAGATGGACCTTCTTCATCCAGACCAATCCTGGATCCAGTCAAAAATACATTATTTGTCATTGCCAAGCTTCCCGCTGGTTGTCCAGCCCAAGGCTTTAGCTTGTAGGGTTAACAGGACAAGTGGGAAGGAAACCCTGCCCCCAGTAACAAACTAAAGTCTCCTCCTTTTGATACCATGTTTCTTGTGCTAATTAACACATGAGGAACAGGGTAAGGAATGAGACAAACCTCGTCTGTAACATTGCGTCAGTGATGACCGGTTCATTCACCCCTTTCCGTGTCCCACAGAGACAAGAGATCTCTTACCAACAACCTGCAGCCGTGACATGTCCTGTGTCACCTGGTCCTGATGGGATCCTTCCATTATAAACATGACGTGTACGTGACAGAAATACCGTCCGGTGTCGTTTAACTCCAGGCCCCTGATCTTCAGGGAAGCGTCTCCATCTCCCACATTCCTGACCAGCTTGTAGCGATTTCCTTCATTCACTGTCTCTGACTCCCTGGAGTTGGTGTGGGCGGTGAGGCCAAGAGTGTAATTAAACACCAGCTGCCCATGTGGCCTCCCTCTCCTCCAAAGCACTGTGACTGTGGCACGATTCTGGTATGTGCTGGGCCTGTTGAAGGAGCAGGGCAGTGTGGCATCACCTCCCTTGGTACCAGTCACTGACCGGAGCTTCTCTTCATGACCTGAGACAGGAACAGGATTGGAATAGTGCAGAGCAGTCAGTGTGACAGAGTACATGTTACACACTGTGAAATCCTGGATATGTTACCTGCTCTTCATGGCACCATCTCCCTCAGGCCTGTGCTCCTCACTCACCCTCTATGAGCCTGTGGGCAGCACAATGTCTCACACACAAAACCTGGGATGTTTATAGGACCAATAACATGATTACAGGCAAGTGTAGTGACTGTTTTGCAGCCAGTTTACTGAGATGAACTACCCTGAATGGTTATGAAGGCTCTGGGATGCTGCCCTGCACGAGGGGCATTATATAAATGGACGTTATTGTTGTTGTTGAACAACCATTTCAGATGGTGTAGATCCATGGAGACAACCCCTCCTCATGTGTTGGGGCAGCCAATTGCCTGATACATACAGAAATCTGTCACCATTGTTGAGAGTATCTAAACCAGAGAGAGAGTTCTACATATATATCCACTCTGAGTATCCAATTCAGAGAGTATTATGCACATGTTGGCAAGTGCAAGGCTTGTGTGGGTGTGTGTGAGGCTGGAGTTCAACCAGCGGAAACAGCATAATAATAATAATAATAATAAAACTTGCATTTGATATCACGCTATTGAGACATCTCAAAACGCTTTACAGAATATACTGCAAAGTTAATTGACTGTGGGAAAAATGCAGCAGCCAATTGCGCCAGCAGTGTTGCAACAAAATGTCGGTGATTGAGCAACCAAATTCTTTTTAAAATTATTTTTGGAGAGATTATTACCCCCCGAGGTGATCCACAAATCGACTAACAACCACGTTCCTACTTACTGATAGGTAAACAGAGGCGTGTCGAGTAAGGAAACTTGCCCAAGGTTTGACACTGCCGGGAATCAAACCCAAGCCCTCTCGCTTGTGAGGCGAGTGCTCTAACCACTACACTACAGGACTCCACAGCACAGTTGGCCAGTGACGGCACTGTGTGGCGAGCTTCCTGCTGCTTGTGTAGATCTGTGGTGTTATTGAGCTGAGTGGGAATGGTCGCGCCCAGTGACTGGTCTGCCAATGAGGCTGATGCCAAATCAGCAGTGCCCTGGAGTACTGCGACCGCCTGGCTCAGGAACCAGACTAGAGACCCCCACAGAGGGTTGACTCCTGCCCGACGTCCTGTGGCCTGGTATGTCACTGTGGAGCCAGTCCCTGCTTTACACCGGCTTTTTTGTGGTGGGAGAACCTTACAGGGCAGTTTGTGACCTGCCAGCCACCTTGATGTTCTCGAGATCCATTGCCGCGTCCCAGGCTTACTGATCACCAGCTGCTGAATCCAGGTCCTCATGTGAGGGGCCTCGGCAAATAGACAACCCCACAGTGAGGCCGCCTCAGCCTCCAGGTGCTCAGTGACAGGTCAGTGTACAGCACAGCCCTCCCTCCCTGCAGCCGCTCACTCACTGTCACCTGTCAGCTCCCTGCTACACACCGTCCATCACAGGGACCACTGGCTCTCTATTGCCCGTCCTGGGACGGGACACTTCCCACTGACTCCGGCCCCAGTGAGGAACGTCACATCTCATTCCCACTTCCCATCGTTCCTCACCTGTAACAATCAGACGTGTTTTGGGGCCAGTTTCAAACTTTCCGTCCTCACCCTGGAGCTCCACACGACAGGACAACAGCTTATTATTGTCCTCTCCCCTCAGTTGGTTTATCTCTATTGTGGCGTTGTTCCTCCTCGGATCCCCAATCACTCGATATCGCTCTCCCTCATTTACATCAATGACATTTTGATACTTTCCCTGTGAATCCGGCCCATAATTTGTATATTTAATATACACAGGACCAGTCCTTCCTGCATTCCATATGATGGTGATGTTCCCTGTGTATCTGGGGTGAGGGTGAGTGAATTTGCAGTACACGGTGACCGGTGACCCTAACCTGCCGGTCACTGTATCGGGGGTCTCCATCGTCCAGCCATTCCCACTGAGCCCTGTGAGGACACACATGGTGTAATGTGAACCAGAACACAACATAAAAGCAGACAGGTAACAAACCGGAGTTGAGGCAAAGTCCATCAATAATAATAAAGTAACCCTTGCATTTGATATAGCACCTTATTACGTCTTTGAGTCGTCCGAAAGCGCTTCACAGGATATGCTCTCAAGTGAATTGACTGCATATTTTGTGGGAGAAATGCAGCAGCCAATTGCGCCAGCAGTGTTGCATCAAAATATCGGTGATTGAGCAACCAAATTCTTTTTAAAATTATTTTTGGAGAGATTATTACCCCCCGAGGTGATCCACTAATCGACTAACAACCACGTTCCTACTTACTGATAGGTAAACAGAGGCGTGTCGAGTAAGGAAACTTGCCCAAGGTTTGACACTGCCGGGAATCGAACTCAGGCCTTCTCGCTTGTGAGGCGAGTGCTCTAACCACTACACTACAGGACTCCACAGCACAGTTGGCCATTGACGGCACTGTGTGGCAAGCTTCCTGCTGCTTGTGTAGATCTGTGGTGTTATTGAGCTGAGTGGGAATGGTCGCGCCCAGTGACTGGTCTGCCAATGAGGCTGATGCCAAATCAGCAGTGCCCTGGAGTACTGCGACCGCCTGGCTCAGGAACCAGACTGGAGACCCCACAGAGGGTTGACTCCTGCCCGACGTCCTGTGGCCTGGTATGTCACTGTGGAGCCAGTCCCTGCTTTACACCGGCTTTTTTGTGGTGGGAGAACCTTACAGGGCAGTTTGTGACCTGCCAGCCACCTTGATGTTCTCGAGATCCATTGCCGCGTCCCAGGCTTACTGATCACCAGCTGCTGGTCCTCATGTGAGGGGCCTCGGCAAATAGACAACCCAACAGTGAGGCCGCCTCAGCCTCCAGGTGCTCAGTGACAGGTCAGTATACAGCACAGCCCTCCCTCCCTGCAGCCGCTCACTCACTGTCACCTGTCAGCTCCCTGCTACACACCGTCCATCACAGGGACCACTGGCTCTCTATTGCCCGTCCTGGGACGGGACACTTCCCACTGACTCCGGCCCCAGTGAGGAACGTCACATCTCATTCCCACTTCCCATCGTTCCTCACCTGTAACAATCAGACGTGTTTTGGGGCCAGTTTCAAACTTTCCGTCCTCACCCTGGAGCTCCACACGACAGGACAACAGCTTATTATTGTCCTCTCCCCTCAGTTGGTTTATCTCTATTGTGGCGTTGTTCCTCCTCGGATCCCCAATCACTCGATATCGCTCTCCCTCATTTACATCAATGACATTTTGATACTTTCCCTGTGAATCCGGCCCATAATTTGTATATTTAATATACACAGGACCAGTCCTTCCTGCATTCCATATGATGGTGATGTTCCCTGTGTATCTGGGGTGAGGGTGAGTGAATTTGCAGTACACGGTGACCGGTGACCCTAACCTGCCGGTCACTGTATCGGGGGTCTCCATCGTCCAGCCATTCCCACTGAGCCCTGTGAGGACACACATGGTGTAATGTGAACCAGAACACAACATAAAAGCAGACAGGTAACAAACCGGAGTTGAGGCAAAGTCCATCAATAATAATAAAGTAACCCTTGCATTTGATATAGCACCTTATTACGTCTTTGAGTCGTCCGAAAGCGCTTCACAGGATATGCTCTCAAGTGAATTGACTGCATATTTTGTGGGAGAAATGCAGCAGCCAATTGCGCCAGCAGTGTTGCATCAAAATATCGGTGATTGAGCAACCAAATTCTTTTTAAAATTATTTTTGGAGAGATTATTACCCCCCGAGGTGATCCACTAATCGACTAACAACCACGTTCCTACTTACTGATAGGTAAACAGAGGCGTGTCGAGTAAGGAAACTTGCCCAAGGTTTGACACTGCCGGGAATCGAACTCAGGCCTTCTCGCTTGTGAGGCGAGTGCTCTAACCACTACACTACAGGACTCCACAGCACAGTTGGCCAGTGACGGCACTGTGTGGCAAGCTTCCTGCTGCTTGTGTAGATCTGTGGTGTTATTGAGCTGAGTGGGAATGGTCGCGCCCAGTGACTGGTCTGCCAATGAGGCTGATGCCAAATCAGCAGTGCCCTGGAGTACTGCGACCGCCTGGCTCAGGAACCAGACTAGAGACCCCCACAGAGGGTTGACTCCTGCCCGACGTCCTGTGGCCTGGTATGTCACTGTGGAGCCAGTCCCTGCTTTACACCGGCTTTGTGGTGGGAGAACCTTACAGGGCAGTTTGTGACCTGCCAGCCACCTTGATGTTCTCGAGATCCATTGCCGTCCCAGGCTTACTGATCACCAGCTGCTGAATCCAGGTCCTCATGTGAGGGGCCTCGGCAAATAGACAACCCAACAGTGAGGCCGCCTCAGCCTCCAGGTGCTCAGTGACAGGTCAGTGTACAGCACAGCCCTCCCTCCCTGCAGCCGCTCACTCACTGTCACCTGTCAGCTCCCTGCTACACACCGTCCATCACAGGGAACACTGGCTCTCTATTGCCCGTCCTGGGACGGGACACTTCCCACTGACTCCGGCCCCAGTGAGGAACGTCACGTCTCATTCCCACTTCCCATCGTTCCTCACCTGTAACAATCAGACGTGTTTTGGGGCCAGTTTCAAACTTTCCGTCCTCACCCTGGAGCTCCACACGACAGGACAACAGCTTATTATTGTCCTCTCCCCTCAGTTGGTTTATCTCTATTGTGGCGTCGTTCCTCCTCGGATCCCCAATCACTCGATATCGCTCTCCCTCGTTTACATCAATGACATTTTGGTACTTTCCCTGTGAATCCGGCCTATAATTTGTATATTTAATATACACAGGACCAGTCCCTCCTGCATTCCACATGATGGTGATGTTCCCTGTGTATCTGGGGTGAGGGTGAGTGAACTTGCAGTACACGGTGACCGGTGACCCTAAACTGCCGGTCACTGTATCGGGGATCTCCATCGTCCAGCCATTCTTACTGAGCCCTGTGAGGACACACATGGTGTAATGTGAACCAGAACACAACATAAAAGCAGACAGGTAACAAACCGGAGTTGAGGCAAAGTCCATCAATAATAATAAAGTAACCCTTGCATTTGATATAGCACCTTATTACGTCTTTGAGTCGTCCCAAAGCGCTTCACAGGATATGCTCTCAAGTGAATTGACTGTATATTTTGTGGGAGAAATGCAGCAGCCAATAGTCCACAGCAGTGACCAACAAACAGTCGTGAATTGAGTGACCAATTTAATATCATTTATTTTGAAGGAATTAATACCCCCAGAAAAGTGATCTGCCAATCGACTAACAACCGGGTTCTTACTTACTTCTAGATAAACAGAAGCTTGTGGAGTAGGGAAACTTGCCTAACCTTTCGCCTGCTGGGAATCGAACCCAGGTTTCTCACCTTTGAGGTGAGTGTGCAAACCACTGAGCTACATGAATCCACAGTCAAGTCTTTTGAAAGGAATTGGATAGATGTTTGAAGAGGAGGAATATTAAATGTTTTTTGGGGGGAGGGAGAGTGAGCGAGACACAGGGTAAGACTGAGCAGCTGGTGAAGCAAATAATACTGTTTAAAATGGAATGAACGGGCGGAGGGGCTGTTTTCATGCTACAAAAATACCATCATTTTAAGAGTGAGAAACTGCAGTAGAATACAGAGCTGCAGTGAGAACTAGCGCCGGCACAGACACTTTGTTTGCGATCAGCCGGGTGTCTGATAACAGAGGAAACTCATCACTGCGCTGAAGAGTCTTCAAACCAAACTACTCAGAATTCCACCTATATCTGGAAATGTCTGTGTGTCTGGAATGAGATGTGCACTTTGTCCCCAGAGGGACGTATCCTGCTCACCTCATCACAGACAGTATTCTGCGCAGGATGGGAAGATCACCGATTCAACAACAAATTGTATAGCACCTTTCATGTCGGGAGGACATCAAGAGAGGGGTGAGGGGAAGGGACTGTGGGATGGAGTTCCAAAGGGTGAGGCAAACACTTACACTGTGGGGCTCAGTGAGTAACACAGTTCTGTTCAGTTTAGAGACGGGAATCTTATTTGCAGGAGATATCACATGACTGTAATTATTCCAGTAAAAGGTAAAGCAGTAATTAAAGCCAGTCAGGTTTCTGATTGGAAAGTACGTACGGAAGGCCGAGGCTGACAGGACCAGGGTACAGAGCACAGCTCCCAGCATCATCGTCCCTCACTCAGGACACACTCCTTCCCCGCGCACGTCTGCCTCGCACTGGCACAGCTGGTCACCCTTCTCTTTCCTTCCTCCTCTCGTTCTGTGGTCACCACCAGAGCTCCACCCTCCGCATCCGCTATGTTCTGATGCTCTGTTATGTTTGTCCCCAACACTAACCCGCCCTCACCCCCTGTCACAGTAACTGGGTGACTTTTAATGCTCTATTACATTTCACACCCTTTTTATATTGGCCACGTTTACATGGGAACACAAGAATTTGCTGGTGAAGGAAGACAAAGCTCCATCTCGTTCGCCTTCCACCATCCTGGCAGTCGCTTGACATATCATTTCCTAAACTATAATTTCAGATCTATAAATAATAATAATAATAATCCTTGCATTTGATATAGCACTTTTCACGTTGGGAGGACGTCCCAAAGCGCTTCACAGAACACACTGTAAAGTGAATTGACTGTATATTTGTGGGCGAACGCGGCAGCCAATTGCGCACAGCAATGTCCCACAAACAGTCGTAGATTGAAAATGATCAATTTATTATTGTTTTTTGTTTTCGAGGGATTATTATTTTTATAAAGTGTATCCTGAGATATTATTTTCTATTATTTTCTCGAAACAAATTTTCTGTTTCCACTAGGGAGGCTTTTCCATTAGTTTACTACTCTGAACTTCTAATTTGTTCTAAAAACAAACAATACTCTTTACTTCTACCATCTCCCTAGAGAACGTTCCATAAGTTTCCTACTCTCTCACTGAAGAAGTGAACAAATGTTTTAATAACCCGTTCAGTTCTGTATTTGATACAAAATCTGTAATGTTAGGAAGTCTCAAAGGTTTTGAACCGATCGTGTCTGTGTTCATGGACAAACACAGCAACCAGTTTGCACACAGCGATATCACAAAAACAGCCAGAAGTTGAATGAACCATTAATCTGGTTGATTGTCGCGCAGGAAGCCGGGAGGAACTCGCTTCTCTTTTCCATCAGTGTCGAGGGATCTTTAATGTCAGGCAAACAGGTCCTTGGTTTAACATCTCATCTGAAGGACGGCAACTCTGACGATGTACAGCTCCCCCTGGGCTGGAGCATCAGCCTGGACTCTGAGCACTATCCCAACATGGGCACGAACCCATCAATAATAATAATACATCAATAAATACATTGAGAGGAATAGGCTAGCAAAAGTAAATTGGGTTCAATACAGGCAGAGACAGGAAAAATTATAATGGGGGATAACGATATGGGAGAGTCCCTAAATAAATACTTTGCTTCTGTCTTCATGTTAGAAGACACAAGAAGTTTACTACCAGAGATAGAGATGAACCAAGGGGCTAATGATAGGGAGCAACTTAGGGAAATTTACATTGGCAAAGAATTAGTGCTAGAGAAATTGTTGGCATTAAAAAGTGGCAAGGCCTCCGGACCTGATGGTTTGCAGCCTAGGGTTGTAAAAGAGGTAACTCATGAGATAGTGGAGGCCTTGTGTCTGATCTTCCAAAATTCTTTGGATTCTGGAACGGTTCCCATTGATTGGAAGATCGCAAATGTCACACCACTATTTAAGAAGGGTGGGAGAGAAAAGACGGGGAACTATAGACCAGTTAGTCTGACATCGGTGGTAGGGAAAATTCTAGAATCCTTAGTGGGATACTTAGCGGATGACAAGATAATTAGACAGTCAACATGGCTTTACAAAAGGGAAATCATGTTTAACAAATCTTTTTACAATCTACATCAACGATCAGATGAGGACATCAAACTTAATATATCTAAATTCGCGGAGGACACTAAACTAGGAGAGAGGGTAAACACAGAGGACGACATTAAAAAAATGCAACGAGATATAAATAGGCAGGTGAGTGGGCAAATAGGAGGCAGATGAAGTATAATGTAGGGAACTGTGAAGTCATCACCTCGGTGGCAAAAACAGTAGAGCAGATTATTTTTTAGAAGGGGAGAGACTCGATAGTGTTAGCGTTCAGAGGGACTTGGGTGTCCTTGTATACCAGTCACAAAAAGTTAGTTTGCAGGTACAGTAAGGAATTAGGAAGGCTAATGGTATGTTGGCATTTGTTACAAAAGGGTTAGAATATAAGAGTAGGAAAGTTTTACTGCAGCTATATAGGGCCCTGGTGAGACCGCACCAAGAGTATTGGGTGTTGGTCTCCTTATTTAAGGAGACCAACACACCTTCCGTGGAGTCCCGTAGCTCAGTGGTTAGAGCACTCGCTTTGCAAGTGAGAGACTTGAGTTCAATTCCAGGCAGAGGGCGAAACCTTGGGCAAGTTTCCTTACTCCACACAGAGCCTAATAATATTCCCTCCAAAACCAAAAACAATAACAAATTGGTCATTTTCAATCCACGACTGTTTGTGGGACATTGCTGTGTGCAATTGGCTGCCGCGTTCGCCCACAAATATACAGTCAATTCACTTTACAGTATATTCTGTGAAGCGCTTTAGGACGTCTAGAAGACGTGTAAAGCGCTATATCAAATGCAAGGATTATTATTATTATTATTATTAGGAAAGTATGTACTCACCTTGGAGTGGGTTCAACGTAGATTCATTAGGTTGGTACCTGGGATGAGGGCGGTGAGTTGTGAGGATAGGTTGAGTAATTTAGGCCTATATTCTCTAGAATATAGAAGAATGAGGAGTGATTTTTTGAGACCTATAAGGTTATTAAGGGGCACCACAACAACAACAACAACAAGATTCCATTTATAGAGGGCCTTTCACATCGGGAGGACGTCCCAAGGCGCTGGACAGTTGGGTCGGGACCCGAGCATTGGGGGGGAAATGGTCAGGGTGAGGGGAGGGAAGGGAGGCAGCGAGGAGGGGGTAGAGAGTCAAAAGGGGAGCGGAAGGCTCGGTGAAAGAGAAAGGTCTTGAGACCGGCCTTGAAGGAGGAAAGGGAGGAGGCGGAGAAGGCACCGGGGGATAGAGTTCCAGAGCCTCGGGGCTGAGAGGCTGAAGGCCCGGCCACCGATGGTAGGGCGGTTGGGCGGGGGATGGGGAGCAGACCGGAGCCGGAGGAAACACGACAGAATAGATAGTGGGAGACTTTTTCCCTTGGTTGGAGAAACTATAAGCAGGGGTTCACATTCTTAAAATTAGGGGTAAGTCATTTCGCACTGAGTTGAGGGTCAGCTTTTTTGAACAGAGTTGAGGAAATATTTCTTCACTCAAGAGGGTAGTGAATTTATGGAACATAATCAAGACTGAGATTGATAGATTTCTTGCGGTTAAAGGGATTAAGGGATATGGGGATAAGGCAGGAGGTGAAGTTAGAATATATCAGCCATGATCTTATTGAATGGCGGGGCAGGCTAGAGGGACTGAATGGCCTACTCCTGCTCCTAATTCTTATGTTCTTATGTTCTTTAGACCCAGAGGTGAGAGTGTGACTGACTGAGCCAAACTGACTTCCTGCGTTATGTTAAGGTCAGAGAAGTGGAGCTGCTGTCCATGTGATTTGTTGGTTTACAGCGCAGAAGCCTTCCCCCCCTCTGCTGTCTGTGCTGGTGATCGCTCTTTACTGGGGCTCTATACGGTAATCCAAATCCCTGCTCTTTCCCCACTGTGTCTGTGCAGAGGTATCGGTGTATTTTTCGTTAGTCGGGTGTCTGACACGCGCAGAAACCCATCCCTATGCTGTGGGTTATCCAAACCACCAACACTTGGGAATTGCTGTACATTAGGATGGATTGTACACTCACCTGTGACAATGAAGGGCGACCCCAAGACGGCACTGAAGTGTCAGCCTGGATGGTGAACAGAAAGTCCTGATGTGGGGCGTGAACCCACAACCCTCTGACCCAGAGGCGAGAGTGCTACTGACTCGCCAGACTGACACCCGATGGGGTATGATCTCGGCCAATAGAAAAGTGGACCACAATTTTCCCGCGGAGTCCGCTACGGACATCCCCTCGGCTACAAACGGCTAAACACACAGTGAGTTCGGGGCCTCTGCGCTGCCACCGGCTGTTAACTCGCTGCCACGACTGTGAGCGGAGCCGCCCAGGATGTGCGGGCGCGGTGCGGCTCGAGGGGGAAGTGGGCTTCCCTCACCCTGAGGCCCCGCAGTTCATATTGTCTGTGACTCTCTCTCTGTGTATCTGGGAGCAGCCCTGAGAGGCAGAGGTGATAACTTGCTGTAGCCCCCCAGTCAGTCCTAATCCCCCACCCCGCCCCCCCCCCCACCCCCGACCTGTGGGCCGCCCAGATTTGTTAAACAAACCATTAACATCTTTTTTGCAAGAATTTACTACGTGTTATTTCTTGATGTTTATTGTTTGTTAACAACTTCGCTTACAACCGACGTCTCCGATATGGAACGCAGATGGACATCCAGACAGACATCTCATCTTTATCTGTACTCATGTGGGGGGACTCCTGTGGAAGATCTCCTGTGGGGGGATTTGGGGAGGGGCTCAGGGGGAGGGGCTTGGGGGGAGGGCTCAGGGGGAGGGCTTGGGGGGAGGGGCTCAGGGGAAGGGCTCAGGAGGAGGGCTCAGGGGGAGAGGCACAAAGGAGAGGCTCTGGGGGAGGGACTCAGGGGGAGGGGCTCAGGGGAGGGACTCAGGGGGAGGGGCTCAGGGGGAGGGACTCAGGGGGAGGGATCAGGGGAGGGGCTCAGGGGGAGGGACTCAGGGGAGGGCTCAGGGGGAGGGGCTTGGGGGGAGGGGCTCAGGGGGAGGGCTTGGGGGAGGGGCTCAGGGGAGAGGCACAAAGGAGAGGCTCTGGGGGAGAGGCTCTGGGGGAGGGGCTCTGGGGGAGGGGCTCAGGGGGAGGGGTCAGGGGGAGGGGCTCGGGGGGAGGGGCTCGGGGGGAGGGGCTCGGGGGGAGGGGCTCAGGGGGAGGGCTCAGGGGAGGGGCTCAGGGGGAGGGGCTCAGGGGGAGGGGCTCGGGGGAGGGGCTCGGGGGGAGGGGCTCAGGGGGAGGGGCTCAGGGGGAGGGCTCAGGGGAGGGGCTCAGGGGAGGGGCTCGGGGGGAGGGGCTCGGGGGAGGGGCTCGGGGGGAGGGGCTCAGGGGGAGGGCTCAGGGGGAGGGGCTCAGGGGGAGGGGCTCAGGGGGAGGGGCTCA